AGGAAAGATATTGTCTTATGGGGGTAAAATGACCTTAATTAATCATTTTCTCCATGCTATACCTACATATACCCTTGCAGCCATGTGCCCTCCTAAAGGAACTTTCAATCTCATTGAAAAACACTTTGCAAGGTTCTTTTGGGGATTGGATAGTGAAAAGAGCAAGTATCACTGGAGTTCATGGAACAATTTATAAAAGAGTAAAGATGAGGGAGGCATTAGGATGAGAAGACTAGTAGAGGTGAGTAACACTTTTGCTATTAAAAGGTGGTGGAATCTAAGAACCAATCACAACATCTGGAGCTCTTTCATCATTAGCAAGTACTGCATTTACAAACATCTAGTGGCTAAAACATGGAGAAGCGGGCAATCTCATGACTGGAAACATCTTTTGGAAGTTAAAGATCAAGCTGAGAAAAATATTCTTTGGAATATCAACAACGGTGATACTATTTTTTGGTGGGATAATTGGACAGGCAAAGGTGCACTTGCAAAAATACACCCCAGTCCAGCTAGGTCTCATAGGGAAAGGGTATCAGACTACATAACTCAAGGGACTTGGAATATGACCAAGCTCTCAGAAGTCCTTCCAGTAATCATGGTGAATCATATTCTCACCGTTCCGACGGGGAAACATGAGCATGAGGATTATCCTATTAAGGCTAAATCTGAAGATGGAAAATTCTCCACCAAATCAGTTTATCAGAAAGAAAGTAACCATAGCTCTCATGATATTTTTTCCAAAAAGTTTGGTATAACAAAGTCCATTTTAAGATCTTCTTTCTAACATGGAGGGTATTACATAGAAAATTGCCTATTGATGAATTAATGTACAAGTTTGGGAACTATGTTGTTTCCAGATGCCATTGTTGTAATGCTCCAAAATGTTAAACTCTTCAACATATTTTTATTGATAGTTATCTAGCCGTTAAGTTGTGGAATGATGTTGGTGGCCCTCTAGGTATCTTACACCGTAAAAGACCAATTAGAGCGGTACTGCAATGATGGTTTTGTGCTACACCAGTCAACATGATACATAAAATGATCTTATGTATTACTCCTTTGGCTATATGTTGGGAGGTACAGAAAGGAATTGCTTCACGTAAATATGGAGATAAAAAGAAGATTTTGTATAGTAGAGTATACCATAACACCCTTTGGATCCTTAAAATAGCTCTAAAATTGGCTTTTCTCAGTTGTGATTGGGATCATCCTTGGCATAAAATCTGTGAGTTAGTCGAAAGGCTCAGACCTAATCCTAAAACCTTGATTGTTCTATAGGAGTTACCCCCTGAAGGTAAAGTGAAACTTAACACTGATGGGAGCTTCCTTCACTCTTCTGGTTTAGCGAGTATGGAAGGCATTGTCAGAGATTGCTGGGGGAATATGATAATGGCCTTTGTAATCCCAAAAAGTTGCAGCAGTAACAATATGGCTGAAGCTCATGCAACCAAATATGGTTTGGAATGGTGTATTCAACAGGGGTTTGGTGATATCATTTTAGAGATTGATTCTCTAATAATTGTCAATATGCTTATCAAAAACACTATGGAGAACTGCAAACTTAAAGTTATCATTCAACAAAGTAAGCAGATTTTATGTCAAGCAAATGTAGAAGTTAGACACTGCTTGAGAGAAGCCAATCAATTGGCAGATGGCCTAGCAAAACATGCAAATACTATACATGAGGGCGGGATTCTTTTTGCATTTCAAAATCTTCTGAGAGATGCTAAAGGAGCATACCACTTAGATAAATGGAAACTACCTAGAGAATAAGATATGATAAGGCAAATTTTTATGTTAGTTAAGTGTGTTTTACTTCCTTATTTGCAATTGTGTCAGTAACTTCATGTAATACTGCACAGAACATATTTTGTTACTGAGGCAAGGCCACATCCTCCTCATGTGTCATCTCCTTAAAATAATGATACATTCCGAGGTTTGCCTCACTTATGATGTTGTCTGCAATCTGTTTGGTCTTCATATTGGTTGTCATTCTGTTGGTCATCATATTTGCACTAGTCGAGTTCAAGAATCAAATTACCGTAGACATGTTGGTTGCACCATTTCACTCCAAACTCAGCCGCAAGAGCTTCTGTCATGTTGTTGCTCCTACTATGTATGGACACTGAGGAGGCCATGATCAAGTCGCCATTGTTGTCCCTTACAATGCCCCATTTATAGTTTCTTTGATGAAGCTACCTTCAGTTGTTGACTTTGAGTATGCCCGTAGGAGGTGTTTGCCGCATGACTTGATTCTAGCTTTGTGCATGTTTGAGTCTTTCTATATTGTCAAGGTAAATAGGGCACTGGACCTCGCTTTCCACACTAGGTATAACCTTAGTAATTGCATGCATCTATAATCCACATCCCTTGGTACCTCATAGTATTGTGATTGAATTTTTTCTTGTCGCCATACCTACAAGAGGTCCATTATTTCCATATATATTCCCACCAAATGATAGTGGGTCCTTTGTCTTGTAGATTAATGTGACATTCACTAAATTTTTACTTCAGCTTCAAGGTTAATTAGATTTGTACTATACGCGGCAAAATCAGAAGACTTGTTTTTTTGCTGTCAAGACATTTCGAGGCTTGCCCCGAGACCCCGAGGGCGAGAGGTCGCGATAGAGTTCACAGCCTCAGGGCTTTTCGAAGCCCGATTTGGAGGAATTGGGGACCGAGGTAAGGATAGATGGGGAAGCCCCCTAGGCACCCGGGGGTATCTGACAGGCCCGACCTATCTAAAGCCTACTGTGAGGCCTTGCATCAAGTCGTCCCATCTTCGTACTCTTGCAATTAATACACATGTACTTGTATCCGAGTTCCCCTCCTATATAAAGGGGACTCACCCTACCTAGTAAAGGGATGATGTTGCTCCACTTCTCCACAAATGCAATAATATCTCTCTCTCTCTCTCTCTCTCTCTTTTTTCTAAATTGTCTATCTTCATCGACCTCGAGGTCGCCTTAGCACTTTATCATTTTCTCATTTATTCTTCGTTGCTTTGCTCAATATTGATAATATAGAGCCTTGCTTAGCTACATTTTTTCCTGTTATCCCCTTCCCGACTGCCCTCGATAGCCCGAGATAGGCTCGAACCTCGGCCCCGAGGTGTCTACTGGCTGATCTTACGCCTGGGCAACAGCCCCTTACTGGTTCGATTACAACCTTGCTTAACTCGTTTTTTGTCACTTTACCTCACGCTTTAGCACTAACCGCCGTAATAAACTAGCTCGGGAATATATCACATATTTTTAGAATCTCATTTACAAATTTAATTGTTGTTACCATTTTTACGGAAAACAGTTTGGCGCCCACCGTGGGGCTAAAAATAATAGTGATTATTTTTTTGCTAGTTTTGACACTCGAACGCACTTTATCTTTCACACTTTTTATTGCCCAAGATCTTTCGATTTCAGGTTAATGTCCATCTCGATAAGGGAGATCGAGAACGATAAACCCAAAAATCACAAAGGGAACGGTATGGCCATTCCAACGGCTTGCGCGACACCGCAGGACCCCGATAATGCATCTAGATCGGTTCGAGCGGACGCGGGCCTGGACGCGCGCAACGGGGCAACGAAATCTCGCGCACCAATGATGGCACACAGCACGTCGACCAACAGGAAGCCTAAAAAATCCCAGCTCGGGTAGAACAGGAAGTTAATCTTCATATTATTTTTGAAATGTTGCAGGAACGACATTAAGCTATCGCTCAGCTACAGAATCGCCCGGAGACTCCCAACGCAGCAGCACCAGAAATATCTCCTTGTGTCGAGCCAGTTACGAAGATATCGGGCAACGACGGACCGGCAACCTACCCCGTAGCAGTAAGGATGTTGGAATACCTCATCGAAAGGATTGAATCATGCTTGCGGAAACTCCTACAACAACCGTCTCCCGAAGATACGATCCCGGAACTCATTTCACAAAAGTTAAAAACGACGAATCTCCCTAGGTGTGACAGGACCTTGAATACTTACGGGCACATCACCACTTACGCACGCTCATCCAGGAACAGCGACCTCCAAAATATTAAACTTGAACCCGTCCCGATAAGGAGATTCGAAGAAACTCTCCCGAAAGAAACCATGATGCAGCGCCACTGCCTGGCACCTGACCTCGCAGACCCGCTCACTGTATCAGCGCGGTCCGTGGAAGCACGCGCTGGCGCCATCAAAGCAATACCAAGAGGGCCTAATGCACCTGAAGCCGAACGAAGAAGAAATAAAGTGTCATGGGAAGCCGCACCCCGCTCCTCGACAGGACGAACGAGACCGCTCCCGGTTTCGAGTAGTTGGGCAGCACAGGCCTTCACCCAAAACCTAAACGAAGCATACCAGGCGACTCCAGGGCATTTCAAGCAAAGCCTGGTCAGATATCCGGCCAAGGGTTGGTTGGATACCCGCAACCGACACCAGTCCCGAATCGGAGCCGTAGATGACCGTCCAGGAACCTCCTCTCGTTCGGCCTATCTAGGCAGATTCCCGGCAAAGAAGCTAACACCGAGCGAGTGGAGGCATCGCCCGCACTGCAGGAACGGAAGAGACGACTCGAGGTGCAATGCGCCTCGCAACAACGAGGAAGTAGCCCAAGGACAACACCCTCGAGGAACCTCCAATGGTACCAGATTCAACAAAACATAGCTGGTAAGGAAACCTCGCCCGATGGAATACAACTTCGACATTGGAGTACCAAGCATAGTGGTCACCATAAGCGAAGCCAGGAACTCCAGGCAGCTCAGACCTATTCGACCGGAACCCCTCCACCTCGAGGCGCTCGGGGTCACAGGCCCAAAAGAGCAACAACCATGCCATTCAACAAAGGTCGCAACGAAGTGGCATCGAGCGGGCAGACCCAGATCAGCTCCACGGAAGGAAGGAGATCGGGAAAAATGGAGTCGGCGAGCCACGACTGTAAAAAAATGGCGGCACCCCACAAAGATCCGTAGAGTGTAGAATGCAAGTGCCCGTCTCCGGAAAGGGACGGTCCCGAAAATGCTCCCAAAGGACACCCTCGCGCCCGAGGGAAGGGACGCCGAGATTCCACCTCGGCATCGCTTTAAGATATTGGTAATCCCCTCTTTGATTCGACTTATTTCAAATAAAGCATGTGTTTATGAGTACAGGTGTCTCGGCCAACTATACCAACGATGTCAGGCCAAAGCCGATAGGACAATTCGGACCGACATCGCTCTCGCACCGAATCTCTGATAGGTTCCTGATGGCAATCGCCGCAACAACCAGATCGCTCCCTCTGCGCAATCCGCCCGAGCTCAGACTGATACGTTGAGCATGCAGGGCATGGGCGCTTTATACAGACAACAGTGGATATGTCCCCGGAGGCGACTCCGACCCTGCTCCGCCAAAGGGGTGAAACCCCACGACATACGCAGGGCTAAAATATTTAGCTACAAGCGACGAGAGGAGATCCCTCACCATATGACCCATCGCCAGCATTGCCCTCAAAGGGGTCGAAGGGTAAGCATAACCACATCTTCGGTCAGGCCTAGTCGAACGTGGCAGAAGGCTGCGGCAGGACTCGCTCCCCGAAACGCCGCCTATGCACTTCGCGGAAAGGAAGAACTACTCCGCCCTTTTTCATCGTTTCTTTTCTTTTCTTTTTGTTAACCTATATGCAGGCAGTCAACTGAGGCATTCGGTAGCCCTGAACCCCACTCGGGAGTCTGAGGCCCCCACGGGGCCCGCCGTGCATTATTTCCTCAACCGGGTTTCTAACATGGAGAAGGTTCCGCCAACAAGATTATTAGCAGGGCTGCATACCCCCAAGAAGGGGATCCGACGAGATCGCAATACTCTCTTCTAAGTTCCAATACGGAATCATATAACACATCGGATAATCGGAGAAGTCACACTCATATGGGCCGAACTCACAACAACGGGACGACATGTATTTACGGCATATATTTTCGCCAAGCAATAAAGAATATTTTTTAGGCATTCCATGCTTCGGAAAAGATTATTTCGGCGTATTCACAGCAAAACCCCCTCCGCTAGATGTATCTTGAGATACTCGGAGACTTAAAAAATTCGGTGCCCGGATGACCCCAGGGTCGAGACGCCGGGCTCATCAAGCCCTTATGACTCCGAGCTCACGAGAAGCGGTCTTCATGCTTAAGCAACTCGATGACTCGGAGACTGCCACCAATCTCCATGTAATGGAAAATCCAAAATTGTAAGACCCTAGCGGATAGCCTCGGTATAACCAGTTCTCCACAAACTGTAAGACCTCAACAGGCCTGGAAAACTGTAAGACCTCAACAGGCATGAAAAATCCTGCAGTTTAGGCTATACGTCGCATTTGTAAGAATCCCTAAAGGGCATACCCTCGGTGTAGACGCCTAAAACTGCAGCTCGGGATCAAATATGGCCACGGCCAAATGCACATGACTACGATCAAAATGGCTAATACAGCCCAAATAACGCGACTCGGGGATGCCCGACTGTCACTAAAAAATCCTCTGAATTTACTTCGGAAAGAACCGGTTAAAAAATAGGCTTCCCTCAACAGGCAAAAAATGAGTCCCGACCACGTCGGCTCCTAAATCGCAAGAGCATCGATCTACTCGACCCATGAGCTATGAACTTTACGAGGTGCTCAAAACATCGCCGACTACGACTTGAAATCAAGGTTCTTTCAGAACCGACGACGGGTCAGGCGAAAATATACAAAAAGACCTTAATGAGCGGAAACAAAGCCTACAAAAAGCCCCCCGGCAAAACCAGCGTAAGAGCCATTGTTGCCAGCTAAGCAAGCCTTCGGGCCTCATATTAAAAGGTGTCTACGACCCTACAGCGTAAAAGGTCTCTACGACCGTGCAGCGTAAGAGCCACTGTCGCCAGCTTAAAAATTGACAACTTGAGGAGTAAAGCTAGCTCGAATCGTAACCCAATTCGGAGACCGGATCCAAAATAGTTAACTATGCAAGCTTACGGACCACGTACTAAAAGGTCTCAACGACCAAACGACAGAAAAGCCACCATCGCTGGCCGGAAACTCAACGAGATTTAAGGGTCAATTACAGCTCGAATCGCAACGCAACATGGAGACTGGACCCTAAAATTATAATATGCCCGAGAGCACGACATTGACGCCACTACTACCGACCAGAATCTCCAGAAAGATTGAGGGTCAATTACAGCTCGAATCGCAACGCGACTCGGAGACTGGACTCGTGATCGCGGCCGTCTCAACATTACACAATGGTAGGAAGCGTGGGTAGAAATAACTAATACCCGAATAGTGGATCAGGGTCGAAATTCCACAGGGAGCTAGTAAAGGAGTTATAATATCGGTCTAGCCTAGAGTTGCGGTTGTGCTTCTAATATCACTTCTAACATTTTTAGTTTTGATTTTTATATCTTCTACTTTAAGACTAATAGATGAAGCTAAATTACGCTATGGAGACATTGCTAAGTTGTAATTAATATAGAGAAAGGGACTAGGGTCGTGGCGTTACCTAGGTGGTTAACCAACGAGTAGATGATACTAAGGATAAGATGATATACTTGGGGCTTATGCTATAACCGTTGCACAATTGTACCCACTCTCACACCTCTCGATGGAGAGAGTGTTTTTGCCCAATTGACTCTCTCGAGAACAATTGGGTAGGTCAATTAGACCAAGCAACTAGGGTTCAAGTAGGGTGATTACTCTCTCGAGATTTAACCCGTTAATTGGGACTACCATTCCTCATGGATCCATCCCAATTCCTTGTTGGGTCCATTTTGGGGTCATGGACTCTTTTTCTCAAGAAGAGTTAAACCCACAAAGCTAAAATCAGTGTTTGCAACCACCAATTCTAAATTAAAACCTAAAATTAACCCAAATAGCAAACACCCAATATCATCCTAACCTTAGATGGCAACACCCATCAATTACCCACACTAGGGTTGAGCCACAACCCTAGCTAATGGGTTTAGCTAGACATAATTAGAGAAGAAACAGTAGAAATAGAAGAAGAAATAACCATATTAATTAATAGCTAATGCTAAACTACAATATTCTATGATGAAATAAAACTAAAATGCCCAATATTGGCTAAAACATATGTCTCACGAGCGCAGCAGCTATCTGATATACAAAACTTAACCTAAAAATGGTAAAATCTCCTATTTATACCGGGCTGGAAAACTGGACAAAAATACCCCTGCGGGGTTAGCGGGGACCGCGCGGAAATGTAGCGCGGCCGCGCTTGAAGATGGGCGCGGACTGCGTATAAATGGAGCGCGGCCGCGTTGCAGTACTTTGGCAAAAATACCATCTCTCTGAATCTAATCCAGGCGGACCGCACTGATTTGTAGCGCGGCCGCGTGGGACTTTTCCTTGAATTTGCAAGCCTCTGAACTTCACAAGCGCGGACCGCGTAAAAAGGAGCGCGGACCGCGCAGGATGCCCTTGAATGAACCAGACTTTGAATCTCCTAACGCGGCTGCGTGGAAAAAGAGTGCGGTCCGCGCTAGGTCTTCTTGTTCCCCACTTCACTTGGTCTTTGACACTTGGCAGGTTTCACTCCGTTTTGATCCGATCTTTGACATTTGTCATCTTGTCGCTCAAACCTACAATCAAGCGCAACTTGTAAGCATTTTGGGACAGTTTTGTGGCAATTCATAACAAAAGCAATAGCAAGTAGGGGTATAATCATATTAAAATCCTAACTTATCAACTCCCCCAAACTTAAACCTTTGCTTGTCCTCAAGCAAACAAAATAAGACCCGCCCTTAAAAAGGCAATCCAAGAGTTTCCAGCCATCCTAAAGTAACCTCAACAAGCATCAATTGGGACTAACAATTGCCCTCAATACGAATGCATCATTAACACATTTTAAGCTTTTGAAAACTATGGATCAAGTGTGCCACAAGAGCATCAAGGGTTGACACATTTCATCAAAGAGCTTTTCTCAAATACCTTGGTCATTGTGGAACCCAAACTCAAACATCCTCAACTCTCCCTGAGCGAACCTCACCTTTTAGAGTATTGACACACAAACCGAGGTTGATGGGATTTCCACTCAATTTTCTCAAAAAGAAGGTCACAAGTCCGGCTCTAGGTACCATATGCTTGCGCTTTATGTAAGTATCCACTAATGTAGGCTCCCTTCAACTCAAGATCATATAGGGCTTTTGTGGAGTCATTGTGTAGGCTTTGGGTACGGGTAGGACATGTTTTTGTTCAAGTGGGTTCAATCTTCCCTTAAGCACTTCTTTTGTCTCATTTTGGTACACTTTCTTGACTCATTAGAATATTCACTTTCCATTCAAGGGGTTAGAGAGACACACTGTCACTCTTTCTTATGCAATTCAACACATTTCTCCTTTTCCTACTTTTTCCACACCCTTTTTCACTTTTGTTTTCTTTGAATCCCCTTTTTGACCTTATTCAATTTGGTCTTTCTTTTTGTCTTGTCTTTTCTTCCTTTTTCATTGCCTTCCTTTTCTTTTGCTTTTGTACCTTTTACCACATTGTTTCCTTCTTGTCGCTCCCCCCAAACTTTGACTTCGCCATTGCTCAAGGGAAGTGTGGGTTCCAAGAGAGGGTAAAAACGGGTATAGGCTTGTAACATGTGTTCACGAAAGAAAAAGGTTTAAGTCTCAAAAGGGTTAACTAGGGAATCATTTCATTGGTAGGCTATGGAAGTGTTCAACTTAGCATTTGGATCAAGGAGAGCCTATAATCACTTCTCAAGTCAAATTTCACCTAGGATTTTGCCTCAACAAACATTCGGGGCAAGTTCTAGACCATCGGCTTGGGACTTGGACTCACAATTCTAATTCTCACCACACACCCTCAAGGATTGCTAAAGATATCGAGTCGAGGGCCCACAACGACCTTAGTCATGATTCAAGTGCACAATGGTCCAAAAAGACCACATGATGATTGTTTGGTCAACACAAGAGTCTCAAGGCCATGACTTTCACCATACCCTAAACACAACATTATGTCTTTGATCATGGGATCAAAGGCAAATGTGTTAGGCCCAAGTGAAGCTTTGCCTGAGGTAACCTTAACTACGAAATATCAAAAACAAAAGAAAAAAAAATCAAAAACGGACTCAAACCCTTAAGAAGGTTATCACGCTATCTATCATTGGGAAGAGCCACCCGGTTCGCACAACACTCTACCCTTGGAAAGAACCGTGGCATTAAGAAAACCAAGGGCTTATTGACAACGCCAAAACCAAAACAAAAGGCTACGAGCCTAACTACCAAGCTAAAAATGGAAAATTTTAACGAAAATAGAAAAAACGAATGAATATGTACAATGGGGAGTAGAATATACAACGGGGATGAATATATACATAAAGTAGAGAAGTAGCCAAAATTAGCAGTTATATACAGGCCAACTATCAAATCTAAAAACATAAACTAAAAGTCAAATATATACAATCATCTAAATGTATCAAAAATCAAAACAGTAGGGCGCACCCCCACGAATAAGAGCTGGCATTGTCCCCAATGCC